CTTTGAAAGTGCTGAATGAGTTTAAGCCGGGGCTTTGAAGATCTTTGTGTACTGTACCCTGCCAGTTTAAATGATGGCTACAAAGATATGTTATAAAACTTTTTCCAGAAGAGGCAAAAGCTTTTTCTATGTCACAATTTTTAATACACTGTGACTCTTACTCAGAGTAAATTAGGTTATTTATCCCCTTTATTTATATGCACTGCTATAACAGTGTAACAAAACAAAGTGATAGATGCATCTATATCAGTAGTTAAACTCAATAACAAAGAAACAGCAACTGTGTGTAACTTTGCCCTATTGTTATCAATTTATATAAAAGGCAAATTCTTCAAGCTGTGAACATGTGCAATAAATTCTCTGCCAATCTGGACTTTCTAGCAATTACTCTGTCCTCTGATCTCAAACTTTCCCCCCAGGTGGCTCTGACATCACTGGGGCACTGCTAATCTCACAGGCTTTATCCCAATTCACTTTACTCATTTCCATGGAAGTTGTTCTTTATTACATGACTGTAAGTGAAGGCAGGATCCAGCCAATGGTAGGAAATACAGGATGCAGAGCTCTTCCATTCTGAAGTTCAGAGTCTAAGCCAAAAGCAAAATGTCAAAGGTAAAAGCAAACCGTAGTGGACTGCAGACTAACTCCACCTGCGCTCTGCAGATAAATTTTACATGTAGATGTGTAGGTACTACTCCCACTGCAGTCAATAAAAACTGTGCTCAACTAGCATTATCTGTCACCAGCCCAACAGCCCATTCCACAATTGTTCTGCTGAAAGGGAGACAAGTCTTTGGGTGACAACCTCTCCTGACATCATGCTTAAATTATCTTAGTCTCACATGTAGAGTATCTTAGTGCTACTAGCTTTCCCATAATATTCACCTAATTTATGCTATTCATTTAAATTCCATTCTAAATTGAAATTCTATTTCACTGGTGTATTAAAAATAAGCCTAATAAAGAACAGCACATTTTTAAATAGTAACAGATGGAAAAGCCTGTAGAGTTCTATAAATTTAGGTTCCAACTTTAAAAACTAAACCAAAAAAAAAAATTGAGTAAGCAGCATCTACCTTGTACTTTGTTTCCATGTTTATGTGCTTACAGATTATTGTACTAGCCAGCATATCATTTTGGAGATAGATGCAGCAAGCCTGAGCAAAAAAAAAAAAAAGAAAGAAAAAAAAAGAAAATAACCATCACTTAATTGTTATATTTTTAAATTTAGATTTTTGAATATATGGTATACACGAATATCCCTCAAGAAATAGTGTGTCCATAGAACCAACACGTACATGCTCTTACATCTCAGCCCCTTTCATCAGAAGTATTTTTTGTTGTCATCCTCTTCCAACCCAGTTGCATCACACATCATGCCGTGTTGATGATTTGGATTTTTAGATATCTGGAGAGACAGGTTTGAAACTCTAGGTTTGCAATTTGTTTTCCTGGTGTCCTAGGCTGAGGGGAAGCAAGTTATTGTCATTCATTAATTGATTTGCAATTCATGGAACTTTTCTCTTAAATGGAATAAATAAGTGGATAAACTTCTTAGGGATTTACAATCATTATTTGCTTTTGGCATGGAGTGCAATTTCAACAATCACATTTTTTAAAATGTTAACCCATTCTTGTCTTTCACATCACAGTTTTATTTCTCTATTTTGAACATTACACGTTCATTTAGCAAATTGCATCTTTTTTACTTTAGTACTAATTGCTTTGACTTCAACACTTGTTTTATAGCTTTGAAGGCATGCCTTTTGCATGCATGTTGTTCTGATCATCTTGCACTTGACAAATATGTGTACAATGAAGCTACAGTCTCAGAGATAATTACACAGATGCTTTACTTAAAGCACAGATCGAGCACAACAAAGGTTATCTAAGCATTGCACTAACTATAAGTAAAAGCTTACTATTTGCAAAGTAAGGTACTATTCAATCTGAACACAGACTGTAAAATCTGCTTTTAGATTTTTTTTAAAATGTCCAGCAAGCTGAAAAAGCATAGCAACAATTGCACTACAAACATTTCTCTTTCCTTCTATCGTTAGAAAGACATTGGATGAACAGGAGATGCGACGAGTGTCATTGGATACTTAGAAATGCAGTGGTGCAAGCAAGTATTTACTGTAGTTAGTTCCTTTAACATTCATTTTATCTCTCGTTTTCTTTGCGCTTGCTGATCTAAGAGCCCTGAATTGCATTGTTTCCCAACCCCCTTTATGAGCCAGTTAATGTGTTTCTTCTCGGGAGACCCTTTAAGCTTAAAATATTTCCTTAATTAGCGCAGCCTAATCTTGAAAAGCCAAAGCTGTCTGCAGCGCTTCCACCCAGCATGGGCACAAGTGCCCCATCACCTCGGTTCGTGGGGGTGGCGGCAACAAAGAACCTGACCGTAAACTTTCCAGAGGGGCCACAGGGAGACACCCCCCCCTCTCAACTCCCCCCTCCCCCCC